TGTAATCCTAAGGTTTAAGGTAACAGTCCAGGACTGTTACTTACAAATGACTGCCCATTACTCACACAAAATAAGTTATTTTTAACTTGGTCTCTATTAGAATACAGAGAATTACAACCTGTTTATTCTAGGCTTAGGTAAATAGCCCTTAGGTTGATAAGTTGATAATTATATGTTTCTTTCTTCAACTGTTGGTTCAGGGGATAGATTTAATATTAGTTATTTGCTTTTACAATTAGGAAATTGTTCAATTTGTGCTCTAATTGACTAAATTACACCTGCAGAGGTCTAAAGAATTTCATTATCACCTGTGTGAAAGCAGCATGTTTCCCCTGTTATCTACGTCTATTTTTTTTCTATTTTAACCCTGTCATTATTGGTGCTGTGCATATGATCACAATGAAATTGCAATAATTTCCAGGCTTTATATATATTTTTTTCTTTGAATATATGTCAGCAACTACAATACACAATGAGTCCACTTTATGCTGTTTTATTCTGCTTTCCTCTTAGAGTTTCAGTTCCAAAAGGTGCACAAACATGATTTAATACCAGCAGACAAACCCTAGAAGTAGCAGCAAAATAAAAATATTTTCTTAGAAAGTCATAAAATACAAATTAATTTCCTTAAAGAAGATTTAAAACTTCTAATTTTTAGGGACAGACATAATACCAAGCGTGTTATATCTAGGAAAAAATTAGACCCCTTCAAGTTATATCATGACATTGCTTAATGGTAATATCTGTCAGGTCAATTTATATATATTTTTAGGACAAGCATCCATTTTCACATTGGAGTAAGAAATTATCTTCTGGATTTTCCCTTGGGTGTTAAAATAATAAACAAAGCAATAACTGAAATGTATTCATTTGGCTCAAAACATACTTTTTATCTCTCTCTAGTCATTTCAGGATAAGTCTACCAGCTGGATATCCCTGGACTACTAAAAATATTTCTCTTGGCATGGTTTTTTAACGGAGTAAGGAGCACTAAATTACTGTCCATTTAAAATAGGATTATTTTTTGTGTTTGTTCCATCCAAAACTGGTAAAGAAAAAGTATTCAAACGAATTGAGCATTTTTTATCTGCTCTTTGTTTTAATCCAAAATATAACACAAAATTCTCACGTATGAGAGGCAAGAAAGTACCACTACCATAAAAAATTTCACAGTTTGCCATCATTTTCAGCTGACTCAATCATTTCCTCTGCTCATGACTGCATCCACTAAGGCCACACTACACTGGTAACTCACACAGTGGTGCCTGGACCCTTTTTGGGAGTTCCTGAAGATATCAGAACTGTGTCATTGGTCTAAAAGAACAGGGATTCAGGAGCCTACACAGCCAATGTCTTGGCTACATATTCCAGTGGATGCATTGTGTGTTCTGCCTCTTCCTGCTACCACTGTGAGTGGTTTTTTCAGTTGTGCAGATTGAGAAAGGACAATGATAGTCAGCCATAAGCAGCAAAAGAATAATAAAAGATCAACCAGTTGTCACTGCTGCCTTTTGGAGCCATTTCTAAGGAACATACTGTTCTCTGCTACCTGCCTCATGGTCATGTAAAATTACAATTTGCTCTTCTCATGTCTGAAACCTATAAGCTCCTCAAACATACATTTTCCAAATCTATAGATAACTGGGAGCTTTATTTCCCACAGTATTTAACTGACCATCTTATTTTTTGGTACATTATCACTGATTTTTGTAAGAATTCTGCTGGAGGACCTGCAGATTAACTGTTTAAATATAGTAAGAATGACCTAATTTTCAGTGAAATACAAGATAAAGAAAATTAAATCTGTAAGCAATTTTTAAACTTATTGAAAGTACATGTCAGCAAAAAGCTTTTTAGTAGATTTAGCTATTAGAAAGTATGGATAATAGCTTAGAAGCAGTAACAATGGTGTGTTTATTGGTACTACATTCTATAATGGTGAAATGCCTCTTTCACTTGTGTCCTAATCTTACATTGTGGTTTGTATTTGCATATGCTAAAAGATGCTGAGCATAATGTCTGCTTCACAATGATCTTTCGGTTCCCAGTCATGATCTTTAAGTATTGCAGCAACGATCATGACTTGACATAGAGGTGCACTGTTCAGAAAACTATCAGGAAAACAAGTCATTCCAAAGATTGTGTTGAATTAAGTTGATTTTCTTAGTAACTCTGCCACCTGCAACACTAAAGAACAAATGTCTTGGTGATGGACAGGTCAAACATAGTTTTTTCATAAGGTGCCCACAGCTGTTCTTTCTTTTCCTAGTGAATTAACCACTTCATTGCTGTTCACTCATGCATGTGTCATTGTAGTTTTAAGGAGAATGTGAATGGAAAATGTAGCTTGAAGGTCTAGTCTTACTGAATCGGCCTCATTATCCTGAACATACTGATATGTCTTTTAGCCCTAAAGAAACTATTTGTGTCTTTCACTACACATATATGCAAGAACACATAGCATTACTTAGGAGTAAAAAAAAATTGAATTTTGAATAATCAGGGTTGGCAAAATCATGAAGAAAAGGTAACAATGTGAGTTGTTTTGTAACAAAGCCATATGGCCTATAAGATTAAATAAAGAAATAAAGTTAAAGAAAATGTTAGGTAATGAAAATGAATACAAACTTTTTTGCTCCGGTTTCAAGTGAACAAAACTAAGAACACATATTAAAGTAATGAGGTAATCTAAAACTAAATATAATTTGTGCGACAGAAAATATAAGTTAGTAGCTCTTAGCACTTTGTGGGTTATAAAATACAGTTCTCTGTATCACCTAGACCAGATGGATATTCATCTATAATTCAAGTTCCCCATAGCCATACTAATACAAGAAATTATCTGTTACATTACAGCAGGTTTGAACATCAGCTGAGCCCAGTTGTAGAGTTCCAGACATAATATGGCAAAAAAAAAATACATAAAAATTTCAATCCTTAAGCAATGAAAAAGGACTAATTCAGTGTTCTGAGTGCTATCCAGCTGTTCCTCTGCTCTGTCCTGAAGATCTTATGTTAATTCCAGGATGCTTGTCATGAATAGTAGAGCCAGAGCAAATGGTTGCAATCTTTTTGATTAATTATTTCTAGTCTTTACAATTCAGCCTATTTTACTTGTTCACTGTCAAATTAAATTTCAAAATATTTTGGAAAATTCATTGGGTTTTGGGAGGTTCAGTTTTCAAAATTTATTATCCATTTCTAATCATCTCAATTCTTCCCTTTACTGGCAATTCCAAAATATAGATAAAATTTTACAAGATCATAAACACTTCAAGGAACAAAAGTAATGATTATTCAGAAATTACTCTGATTTTTCATGTATAATAGGGGACACAAAATCTATCTTATGACAAAATACTTGGCTGCAAAATTTTGTTCAGTTTCTTCAAAAGTAAATAATCCACTAGGCTTCAAAAGTGAAAGAAATTATTCTTGGAGAGTCTTCAGTTCTCACTTTACTGCTTAAAAGAGAGTTCAAGAAGTCCTCAATAACAGGGTTTTTCTGCAAGTTTTCCTACTGTACCAAATAGAAGTTTCCATGGAATTTGTATGAACTGCCTCAGTTAAGGAAGGAAAAAAAAAAAAAAAATATATGTGGAATAATATTAATCTCTTCCTCTTAAACCAGGCTTTTACTGCAGTTATCCTGAAGTCCCAGTCTCTAATGAACCTTGCCATAGGCCTGCTGGTGATTCCACATCTTCTTTACAATGCCAGCAGTGAGGGGTCACGAGACCAACTGCTGACAAAATCCTGATAAAAACTGATTGAACACGTCATTTCCCTATAGCCAGGCTCCTCCCCACAGGCATGGTGTCCTACATGAGGACCCAGTGCTGGGTGAGGGGAATCACTACAAAACCAGCAGAGAATTCAATGAGAGCAGTGCCAGATCCAAACAACAGAATAAATTGAAACCGAACAACCCCAAGTAATATTTTTGGTGTGTGGTATTAGCTGAATCGCCAGGGTGTTTCTTCAATACCCAAACTGATGGATTTACAGAGTAAATTGTGTGCATTGTCTCTGACTGCACTTTGTGCTTAGAGAGAAGGACTTTTTCAGGTAATTCACAAATTTTGCATTTGCATTTAAGCAATGAATTTTTTGCAGTGTATCTCAAGGAAGAAGTGACTTGAGTTCAAGCTGTAATTAAAATATTTCTTTAATCATCTTTGAACCCACAGTGAATCTGAAGAAACAGCAAGCCTGTTAAATAAGATAAAATATAGTAACTTACACTTTTTCTGACAAACATGTTGCAAATTTTCATAATCTCATATAAATAAACCCAGAAATCTGTGCCAAAGCTTGTGGACTCTCTAAAGGAATGTAAAACGTTCCAGCAGGAGTAAGTAAGCACGGAAAGATAACTAACATTTATTGCTGTCTTTGTTACAAATTGCCAAGTAAGATATAAAGAAGAAATTATTCCAGGTAACTCATTCATGGAGAGATCAAGAACTGTTGTCCTGTTGACTGTGTTTCCATTTAGCCAGGCTGAATATCTTTATCTGCATATAGAAAAAGGGCAGGCAACTGAAGAAAGCAATTTATTCCATAGGCTCTATTTTAGCAACAACTCAAGAACAGATATTTCAGGTTGATAAATTTAGTTATAAAAGGAACACATTTAATTATCTTGCATATGTTACATTTCCCAAGAACAGGATAAATCATTGTTTTACACCTTTTTATGCACACTAACATAAAAAGTTCAGTAGTTTTTGGCAAGATTTGGGCCACACTCAGCTTTTCTTAAAACATTTTTTATTAATTTCAGAGGATATTATCTACAGTTTTGAAAAACTTTTATAGACTAAGAAAAATCACATTTGTTGTAGGATATTGAACTAGCTTCTCTGATGTAGATTTGTTTATGTTGACTAATTCTTGGTTACTCCAGAAAAGGATATGAAACCTCTCCACTTTAGGACTGACCACAAGGAGCCTGCTGAAACACAACCCACATTTATTTATCTGTACAAAGTTCTACTTAAAATTATTGTTGACAAAAATGCACTAGCTGACTTAAAACCAGTTGCTTGGGGTTTTGTTTCTAGTTCATTCTTACATTCACTAGTTCTGAGTAATCACTGAGATTTTTTTTACCATTCCTCATTGCCCAGCACAGTGAGAGAAGTCAGTTTAGTCCAGCTTTTCCCTTACTGATATCACTTGTGTTTCAGGGTAAGTAATTTGGTAAGTAATTTGACCCTTTTAAAGTGTCTAATCTAATGCATACAATCTAATAGAGAGTTAAAACTGAATATCTTTGCAGGAAGAACTTGTTTACATGGAATAAACATTTACAATATTTTGTCCACTTATGTTCACAAATGGGGATGGTTCTTCCATGAAGAGATAAAACTTTCAATAGATTAGGGGTAAAATTACTTCTAGATTGATTTTTTTTTTCCAACTAACACAACACTCAATGGCAATAGAATATAAATATATTCAATGTAAGGCAATGTTGTTGTTGCTGTTTATTATTGTTATTGTTATTGTTATTGTTAATAATATTATTATTAATATTACTACTTCCAATCTTCCAACATATCTAAATAGCCTTAATTTTCATTCATTCATTTTTAAGGGTGAAGCTACTTAGCAGCTTTTCAATTTGGGCTGAAACACATTTTAATTTGTTCAAACTATAAATAGATCAATTACTCTGAAAATGTTCCATTATTCTGTTTTTTTTTGTTTTTTTTTTTTTTTTCTTTTTTGCAAAGCAGGTCATAAACTCATAAAATTTAAAGGTGTGACTCCTAACATTTCCAGATGTCTGTACCTGTCTGTCCTGGATGTTGTATTGCCTGAGGGATCTAAGGTTAACAAAACACAGCTCACTCTGGCTGTCTTTCCTGAAGCTCCTGTGAATCGAGGTTTCTTTAATTTGTCACAGTCTTTGTGAGAAAGTGCACTTTTTTAAAATACATCTGTCAAAGCAGCATTCTGGAGCTCCATGAAGTTATGAGTTTGTGACAGGGAAATCTCAGATAGGATAAACCTTTCTCCTCAGGCAGGATAAACCTTCCAAGTTACCTCTTTCCATGGCTGATTCAGGAAATGGTGGAAGTTGAGATACTGAAGGTTCATATCTTGAGAAAACTCCTGTGGGCAAGGAAGCTCACAAAGAGGTATTTTCTCTATCCTTGTCCTTTATCTCCTGCTTTTCAACAAAATGAAGGTCTCAGTCAGCTGTTGCCTAAAAAATTACTAAGATTTGCTCTTGACTGGGTAAAAATGTGAACTTCTATATTACCTCTGCTGTGTACAAGATTCATTGTTTGACTGATCCTTCAAAGTTGTTCCTGTTTTAAGGAGAATATAATCATGTTCTATGCTAATGTGATAACTTTCATAACTCTTTTTATTCTTGCTAGTAAACCCTGCTTGTCCTTTGACAGTTTTCCTTCCCAAGGAGCCAATATGATGAACACTCTCAAAGAAGGGCAGAGAAGCACACCAAACTTCATCACAGTTTCCCTCCTTGTCATTTCCCATTTCCCAGGGAGATGAACTTCCCTAAAAGAGAATTTCTGTTTAGCTCAATTTTGGGTAAAATAAATGGTCTCTCCAGTTTAGCCTGTGTGAAAATTCAGATGACTGCCAACATTTAACAGGACTCCTAGCAGTTAACATTACCAATACCCCAAGCTACTGGCTAATATTAAATTCTGTACTAGTCCGATTTTTATATTACCAAGAGGCCAGAACTTGATCAGCCATTCCAGCTCTGATATTGTTATTTTATTCAGTAATAGTTAGCTTAAATACATTCAACGTGTTTTTTCAACCTTGCTCAGATCTTGTGCTTATCTGATGATTTCATAATGAAAATAGATATGCTGTACATTCGATACAAAATGTGTAATAAACCACAATTCTCTCTTTCCAGAAATTTAAAGAAAAAAAAATAAAAAATCTGCTTCTAATTAATGTCAGTACTTTTGATGGATTTGGCACCACTACCTTATGTTGATCCTGGCAAAATTTAGTCACAAAAAAATGGGTTTATAAACTGCAATCAATTAAATCCTAACTTTTCCTTGTACTGTTTATTTATACTATGGTAGTGTCTAGAAACTCTAATCAAGACCAGATTTGTATTAAAAGAGAATTATAAGCAGATTTGTATTAAAAAAGAGATTTATATGAAATATTTCAGTTAAGTGATTTTGTGTACTGAGTCAATAGTTAAGTGCAAGATTGAAAATGAAAAAAGGAAGTAAATTTGGGAAGTGAAGTCACACAGAAAACCTGTGGCCAAAAAAAGAAAGTTCTCTGTCTGCAAGTTTGATGTAGTGTTTTATCAACAGGGCTGTGCTCTTAAATCAGTAGGGTATCAGTTAATGTTATGTACAACCTGCAGTCAAAATGCCCTAATTTCATCACTGTGCACATCATATCCTATCAGGCCTGCCCAGGATGGAGCTTTCCTGGTTGGGTGCAGTGTCCTTGTTCTGCACAGGGTGCTCAGACACCTCTTTTCCTGCACCGGTGACCTGCGCACAGGACAGGCACACAGGAGCCCTCACCTCTGTCCTGCCCATAAACAACAGGAGAAATGAGATAAATGCTCCTGTCACAGGTGAGGGACTCATCTAGAGACCTGGCATCACTGTTACAGATAATCAAGGGTTTCAATGACCAGGAATTGGGATTTTTTTTTTGCTACATTTGGTACTTACATATGCATAGAAGAACTCTGAGTAGGTGAGTTCATAAAGTGGCCTGGCTTCATGCTGCATAGAAATAAAAGGTATCTTAATATCACTACTTTCATTTATTATACTTGCCCAGTAAATGTTTTTCTTTATCTACCTTATGCTTACTAATTTGCTGCACAAAATAAACAAAATAACATAATAATAGCAACACTAATAAAGCCAAAGATAGATGGCACCTTTCACCCTAGATTTACTGTAAATTTACCTTGGAGACCCAAATCATAAGCCCTTCAGATTTTCATTTGAAGAGATCTGGATACAGAAAATGTTCTAATATACAAAGGGGAAAAAATAAGATTAGAAGCATTTCTGCACACAAAATTTTCTCTTAGAAATGCACAATTAAAAGATCAGTTTGTTTAGTAGGAATGTAAAATAAAATATAAAATAAAATAAAATAATAAAATAAAAATTATCTAATTAATAAACATAATGAAATATATTTAATTAATAAAACTATTGAGTAAAAATGTTAAAAATTATTTCTCAAAAGCCTGTTTTTTAACATTTTTTTACTTCCATTTTTTTAAACAACTTCTTAAAATGCATAATTACAGTTGTACAGACAGTTGCAGCAAGGTGTAAATCAGCAAAGAACTGGGGCTTGAGTTCCACCTAAGAGTCTCCATATTCCCATGTGTAACTTTGAGGAGTGTGGAAGCAGCAGATCCATATCTTCACAAAATTATGCCTAATTCAGCAAACTTAAATAACAAGGTACTGAGTGCCTGGCCACACACACAAGTACCTTATTTCTGACTGGGTTGTCCCTGATATGGCCATGCAAACTGTAATTGCTTCTTTTTAGCAGCACACACAGGGGTGGATTAACTTTTGATACTCCAGTCAGCAGGAGAAGTATTCTTCATCAGCCATCTCAGATCACTTTTTATTTCTGAGGTGATGTATACTGAGCAAATAAAAGAGTGGTTATTACTGTAAGACATTCAGAACCTGTGTACAGAGGAGAGGAGTAATGCATCACAATTAGCAGCCGATACTGAGCCTCTCACTGCCCCCCAGACCTTGAGAGATTGTGCTTCATGGTTTTGTTGTCCCTAAAGAAAGGGCTGGAATACATCACATCAACTGATTGAGCTTCTGTCATGTCTTATATGGTTCTGTGTCAAGCAGAAAATGTTGAAAAATAGCTTAAATTACTGTCCTAAAGTACTTGTTGTTTGCATTAGCTTTATAAACAGATGTGTTGCTCCTGGTGTTCCTTTTATTTTTGTCACATTTTAGTTTACACAAACTGATACTTAACTGGAATTCATGCTGGGCATCCATTAATATCTTTCCATATAATCCCAAACTGTAACAGATGTTATTACTCTTCAAAAAGGATTTGAGAGTTTTTCTCACCATAGACAAAAATATTACACTAGTCTGGGCAGCAATCCCATTAAGAAACCAAAGTGAACCATACAGCCATGATAAACTGAGGGAAAGAGACACAGTTATTGACTTGTTATACATGCATATATAAAACATATACCATAAAGATGACCTACATGTTTTACAGAAAAGTATTTCATTGTGGTTTTACCATTCCTTCACCTGATGAGAAATAATGTTCTAACATCTGCTGTGCAGCCAGAGAAATCCTTCTGTCACCTGTTCACTACAGTATTTGTCACAATGTGTAGTTATTAGGAATAGATGGAAGAGATCACATCCCTTGACTTTAGGAGCTTGACCTCAGTGATTCAACTCCCTACAATCTGTGAAGGGTGGATATTTTCAAGGGGCTATTCAGAACACCTGAACTAGGCAGCAATTAGGATTCCCAGTTCTCTGAATCACCTCTGAGAGCAACTGGTGTGTTACCAACACCTTTCTAGCTGCCAGTGCAAAGCACAGCACTGTGAACTCCATCTCACCCAGACCCAGTGCAGGAACATTCTCTCTTAACTCTAAAAGTGCTCAGCCTTGGCTGTGTAAATATCCCTCTTCCTCTGCTGCACTCTTTCAGTGGGGCTGAAGGGAACTATCTAAAAATGAATCTTTTTAATCTCATGCATGTGTTTTATAGATGCTAAATACCTCTCTGACAGTTTAAGAAACTGTCAGTTGGTCTGATTTATTTCCTGCATATATCTGTAACCTTTATTATTCTGATTTCTCTGATTAGCCATTCGTGTCCTTTACAGACTTATTATCTATGTAATGGAAATGCAAGGAGATGTATTGGATTTGTAAACCCATTTTGCTAAGGCCACTACTGAACATGAGAATCATTTCACCTCTTTGAGCCAGCACTAACACTCTGCAGTCTTACCAAAAGAATTCACTAAATGTTTATCTGGTCACTTACACATAGAAATGTTGTTACAAAAACATTCATTTTTGCATTTGTTCATAACAAAAAATACATATTTCTGGGCAATGAATGAATGAATGAAGAATTTTAATGTCTAAGTTTAAAAATTCACATTAAAATATCATTTTAAGAGTGTGTGTGTGTAAGTCTAAGTACAATCAAACTGTATGTTAAAAGTATTTGTGCAGTGAAAATGAACACTTCTTTATTCTGACTATTGAAGTAGCAGCAAAATCCTCGCAATCTCCAGTATCTGCTGAATGAATTCTGGAAAATCAAAAAAATTGTGTGCTTCAACAAAATGTCAGCAAATTCGGTATACATGTTAAATTACTCACAACTCCATACACATTTTCTAAATGGTATTTCATAAGCAGGAGAGAGAACTGCTGAAGGTGTTGAGGTTACTGAACAAACTGAACTGAACTCTGTAATAAAAGTGCTCAGTCTGAAAATAAATATTTGACTCCTGTTGAATGCAATGAGAATTGATGCAAACCTAGAGTCCTCAATATGTCCAGTACTGTGGGGTTTCAAAGACACTAACCAGGTCAAAAAAGCTATGAAATATTCAGTATTAAGGCTTATGGAATTACTGTAGGAAAAATGGTTTATCTATTTTAGGACTTGGAATAAGCTGTACAAGAATTTTCCCCCCTCTAAGCCAGCAAACCAGGACCATCTAACACCAAATGTAATTAGTAACAAATTGCCTGTTGCAAGTTAATTACACTTCCTTGCGTCTCTGCTACTTAAGCAACATGTAGATTCTTTTATGCACTTGCCAATTAGTGCATGGGGATTCTGCTTTCTAATTGGATAAAAAAGTAATAAACTGAGCAGTGTGCTGTTGATATCCAGAATGACTTTGTTAAAAAAATAGTGGAGACAGGTTTAATGCTTCAAATATTTATCTCAATTGAAATTGATTAAAACAATTTGAGGTTCCATTAGATATAGATACAATCCTTTTGTTAACAAAGTCCATCTGGTCTTAGAAAGAAAATTAAGATTCACTAATTGAAATTTGGAAGCTTTTTTCCAAACATGCATAATTCATACTGACAGAAAACAGAAGCTGCAATTCACCACAAACTGTCAAGTAGATGAATGTTCCATTTAGATGGAATTTAAGATTTCACCCAGCAAGAATCTACAAATGCTTATATTAAGTCACAGCCTGAGAAAAGAAAATCTGTTCTCTTTTTACTGGCTCAGTATTAAAATGTCTTTTTCACTGTGAAGCCGTTTTAACCTTTAGTGGCACCACGTTTGACCTTTCTCATTGCCAGCACTGGAAGGGCATTTCTAGCTCATGAGCATTATTCAGCTGCGCAATCTTGCAACTTCACTCACAAGCAACTCTGCTTTTTTAACTTGTCATATACTTACAGAATTCTGCTTCTGTGTCAGGATGCAATTCCATTTTATAACAGGGTTAAATTTAATTATTTCTCTCACTGGTTATTTTTCTTTCCTCCTGCCCTGTACTTTGTCCCGCAAAGAGCAGTCTCAGGTCAGATCATTTATCCAGTCTACAAGGTGATTCCCCAACTGTAGGAGCTGAGCAAACTGCAATGAAGGCTGGGGCCAAGTAGCTGCAGGGAAGAGAGGCCAGGAAATTTCAGATCTTTGTGGCCAGCACACACTTTTCATGGACAATGGCAAGAGTGAA